TATATTGCACTGCTCATTTACAACATTACTCACTTATATTACATTGCCCCCTTGCCTTAACTTACACTCCTCCCTTACATTGCTCCCTTACATTACACTGCTCACTTACATCACATTGCTCCCTTACATTACATTGCTCACTTGTATTACATTACACCTGTAGTTGTCCATGCGATGTCCGTCACACTCTTGGGATGGAACAAAATGCAGGGGTAGCAGAATAAAGCTTTAGCTACTTCGCAGCCCGCTAGCCATTTTTTCCGCTCATACCACATCCTCGAAAATCCCCGTTTATGCGACTTCCCGCCCTTTGTAGATACTGTACATGTTTGATGTTTTGGTCTTGGTGGTCCTAATTCTTTAATTGCCAATTTATCCTTATTGCTACGACAACTGAATGGTATTTCTTTCAATGACACGATAGAATTCATATGCGCTGAGGTAACGTTCGCCAAGATGTCGATCAAGTTCAACTGACAACTGAATTTGAGTTGGCATAGCTGTCCCCGTCTCTCTGTTTTGTTTTTTCGTTTTTTTTTCTTATTTTTTCACATTTGATAAAGATATTAAAGTAGTTTTTCATTTTTTCTTGTTGTTAAAATTCAAAATAGTTTTTAAATATTATTGGATGTCACTGTTCCCACCAATCCTTGCACAAGTTAAGGTTACGCATGATGACGAAAGCACGTTAGTGCTAGCCCTCCCGGAACTCATAGAGATTGCATTGCAGTGCCTGCAGTTCGAAAAAAATGATCTTTGTATGGAAGTCTATGGGAGCACTCGGGGCGATTCTCAGTCTGACAGAAATCGCCCAAAAAGGGGCGGTACTACACAAAACGCGACTCGATGCTGATTGGACTATTTAAAGGCAGAACAAACAGTGAAAGCTAGCGTAACACTGTGGTTGAATGTGAAAGAAAAAAAATCCCTCCCTTTCGCGCTTTGGTGGTGCGTCGCCCAATCGCCCTAATGGAGAAACCGCCCCTGGTGCCATTTTGTACAAAATAAAAGCCTTTCAAAACAAACTCCCTGATTAAACATTAAAGTACACTAGTGTGATAAACAGTGCAAATTTTCTTCAGTTTTTATTTAATATTGCGAAAATTATAATAAATAATGCTTTTTTCACTCAAAAAATGAGGTGCCTACTCTCAGATAAATGAGGCCTACGATTAAACAGAAGCAAATATAAATACAAAACCAGTCCTAAATGAAAGATAAGAAGTTGACAAAAAGATTGAATCCAATCTTTGTTGATAATATAGCATAATGAGTGATTTATAAGCATTTTTTTGAGGCCGGGTCATTTTTGCTCTGGAACATCACAAGTGTAACAAGGTAAAAAATCTCGCCCAGAAAAGTATGAAAATGATCAAAAATTTTTGTAGAAGTAGTTATACCCTTTGTGAACGAAGTCACAAAATTTCATTCCATGCGATAACATTAACTAGTATTTTCGGGAAAAATAAACATTTTTCAGAGCAAAAAGGACCCGAACACCGCATGAGGGTTAAGTAAAGGTGAAGTCAAAACTATAATTATGGAAAATATTAGGATTGGCAAGAAAGATGGAATTCAAATAATAAGGGGAGGCAATTATTTAATATAAAAAAAAATGTTAATAATAAACGAAACATTAGTGGTAGAAACAGGAGGGAACAGGTCATTATAACAACGATGAGACTTGGACACACAGGACTGAATGCATCACTATTTATTACTGGAGTACATGAGAATGGTTTATGTGAGTATTGTGGGGAAAAAGAAACAGTAGAGCATGTAATATGTGATTGTAAAAAATATGACAAAGAAAGAAAGGAATTAATAACATGCTTAAATAAAAAGGGAAAGGTAACTAAGGATTTGGGGTACTTGTTAGGATATGAGTTTAATAAAGATATAGTAGGATATAGGCTGCTAATAAAATACATTTATAGTACAGGGTTGAGCGAGAGGATTTAAAATCAATCTGGTATGCTGTAGCCTGATCTGGATTTTAGGGAACAGGGAAGTGTTCTGGAGGAGCTGGAGACGCAGCGCCAGATGGGTGCCTGGAACCTGGGAATCTGGTAAAGGGAAAAGTTTCAAATTTATGGAGAATTATATATTTTTTCTCCCTGCCCCCCTGCTCATTTTGACGATAATAGATAACATGACTGCAAATATGGATGCGACTTCAAACTTCAACATAAATGTAAAATGTATTTGAACTCTTTATATGACAGAACTGGATTATATTATGTTCAATTACGTATCACCAACTAGCGAAATGTTCAAAAGTTAGTGAGAAGACCACCCGAGGATACGACGAACACATCACTGTTACACATGTAAGATGTTTATAATTACATAAAGAGTGGGGCAAGTTGTTATATTACTGCCTACTGTGAAGGATTTTATGGTAACAACGTATAAAACAACAAGAAGAGTAGGAATTGTGAACGTTAGCGTTTTAGACAACTTTATAGCGGACAAATGAATCAGCATAATCCAAAGCCACATACATTTATTAAGAATTTCAAAGTAACGTTAATTAAAGATGTGCACCAGTTAACTTATTCAGCTCATTTTATGTATTATTCCACACAGCTCTGCAATCATTATTTGGACGCAGCAGCTCTTCAAGTGCATCCCACGTGGGTAATGCTCTTAAAGGGGTCATCTTTTTTCAACTGTTTTTAAGCATTTTTTAAATGCTGTGTCATTTTAATATGCGTTTAGACAAACCATGTGCCAATCTATTAATCAACACCATTGCTGTGTATTTTCTCCTTAAAACTGTAGTTTCCCAAAGGCTGACCCAGAAATATGGTTTGAAACAGCCCTTGGTTTGCTACGTCACAAACCAATAACCAATCACGTCAAGGGATCAATTCCTATCACTAGCATGCAAAATATACCAATACCAGCACAAAACCAAAAATAAATCAGAGCAAAAAACCCATGAAGCTGTGGTTTAATGTGAATTTAGAACTGCTAACTTGCATTATAACCCGTGGCAACAGTGTAAAAGTAGCCCGGAGTCAGACGCACCTCTCCCGCAGCTGCGTCGCACTTCACATGCGTATGCTCGTGGGCGCGAATTAACAATCACAAACAGCTGCATTCGAGTCTTCAAGGCATTTTAGGACACAACATCGTCAAGTAAGTAACTTTAACGAATGTTACAGTATTCACTGTAGTTGTCCGCTAGTAAAAACATAGTTTTATCAGTCATTATCCGTGTATGCCATTGTTTTGCGGTTACTACAGTTCAGTGGATCAGGAGGCGCTGGCTGTGTGAATGAGTGGAGGTGGGACTAATTTGCATATTCATAGATCCGTGTATAGTAAATGAGGCAAGGGTGTAGAGTTACATTCAAGCTATTTTAAGGCATGAGAAAATTATTTTCACAAGAAAAAACATTTAAATATGTCATTTTGATGATCAAAGATAACTTTTAAGGCATAAAATATTTGACTACAGGGGGACTTTAAATGATGTTTCATGTCACCTTTGAATGACCCTGTGTCCCACATGGACCAACCCATTCAACAAATTTAGACATGCCACTAGTCATGAACTACTTGGGCCATATTTAAATGTGCTGCTGTCATGTTTGGATTGCTTGTGGTACAGAATACTTCTTGGTAAGTTTTTGAACACTTTTTAATGACGTAGTGGTGTAGAGATGTTCTTGAGATGTCCTTCACACAGTGTGAAACTGTTGCTTGTGAGAAAATAGAAAGGATGCTGAGAGGTGTTATGCTGTAGAAATCTGTGCTGTACAAAAGGCAATCTTCACAGGGATATCCCAGGTTAATAAAATGGGTGTAATACACCTACTATAAATGGGGTACTATTGTGAACCATAAATACCTGCAGAATACCATAACATAATGTTGTTTTGCACAAATATCATGCAAAAGTTGCTAGGTTTACATTGCCGATATAAATTGAGAAACTGGACAATTTTAATTTTTATACAGACTTATAATAGTCTGGTGCTTTACAGTTTCCCCATAGACTCTCATTGCACGTGTATTTCTGTAATTATATAATGTACTTGTTTATTTATTCATTCAAACTGATGGATGGCAATAAAAGTGTATATTATTACCCTTTTAAAAACAGAACAAGGAAGGAAAAATGTTCTCAAAAATCTATGCAATTTATAATGTAAGTTTTGCTTTGTAGACTTCTATTAACTGTGGAAATAAAACATTCAAGATGTTCCCAAAGGAGATTACTTCTACATTTACAGCTTCTTCACTATTATTGACTCGGATGTCAAGGTCAGTAATGCTGAGAAAAGTTGCTTCGCATAGCTCACTCTGCCTTGCAATTGAATTGAAATTTCTCTTGCAGTGGTGGCACTAAAGGGCCTTTTGAACAATTTAGCCTATCAAATATTTACATAAATCCTTTTTTCATTAAGCTGTTATTGAATGTTTAGATAAATGCTGTTTGGCTAATTTTCATTCCAGGCCTGAGGCATTTCTTGCCCATCAATGTTGCATAATATTTGCAATTGTAGTGCAGGATGATCTTACACCTGGAAACACATTGGAAGGTGAACGTTACCTCAGGATTTTTAATAGCACGTTGAGTGTTCTTTCAGTTGTTGATGTTTTTGTGGATTCTTACATTTCAAGTTGACCTTTGAGCGAGGAAACTGTATAATTGATAAGACACTGCAGGTCATTTCTGAAAATGGTCTAACCAAACAAACCATTTTTGTTTTTTGTTCAACTGTGTTTATTTCCAAAAGGCACTAACTACATTGAATGTAATGGTTGCACAAGATACTGCAGATACTGCGAACAGCAATTTACTAGCATGTGCAGCCCGAAGTAGAGCTCAAACATGGACATTTCAAAGTCTCAAGAAGCATGTTTTTGGTACAATCAATACCATAGCATAACATATTAGCACAATAGCATGCTTTAGGGATCCATGTTTTTAAATAGTTTTGAATGCTTTAAAATGTTTACAATTTTCATAGTTTTTTCTTATCACAAATATTCAGTCCGTTGCTGCATTCGCTCTAGACTATTGCAAACATGAAACGAGTAATTAACATTAGCTCAACAACAAGCATTTTGCTGGAGCTGTAAATGTGTGTATGTGTGCGTTTACGAGTTGGTGGGAATGAGGTACCGATACGTGTGTCTGCCTCAGGGAGTTTTCATTAATACAGTCAGCAAGACAACAATCACATCAGACAAAGCGGTATTTGGTTTCAACACAAACACACACACAAATATGTCAGACGCTCCCAGGCGATTAGCACAACATTGTTTAGTGGTGTGTCAAAAGAAGAGGCGAAAATCATAAACTAAAGACAGAAACTTGTAAAAAGTGCAAGGTTTTCTGGCAAAAAAAAAGAGAGTAACATTTCCCTGTCAATCCTAAATAAAACTGCATCCTATACTTTCATAAAGCTAAAACATAAGTATGTCATATACAGTATGTCTTTCATTCACATACAGAATATCTAGTAGACTTCAAAAAAGTCAAGATTTTACCCTGATCACTCACAAATCAACGTAATATTGTGAATATGCTATTATGTTGTGTAATCAGCGCCATCAGTCAACTTAATAAAGGTGCAGTAAGCGATTTCTGCGAAACTCTTGATATTTGAAATGACCAAAACAAACAGGCCCCTACCCAAAAGGATCACATCCTATCTTGTTAGCTCGGCCCCCAGATTCACGAACATGCTATGCAACAGGCACCTCCCCCATCATGAGTGGACACGCCCCTTACTGGTGATTGGCTACAAGATTCGATCCACTTTCAACTGTGTTTCTCTGAAATCGCTTACTTGACAATGGCTTAAAGGGACAGTACACCCAAAAATGGAAAATGCCATCAACATGTGTTGTTTTGGATCTTACTGACTTCAATTAAATAGACAAAACCATTTTAAACACTTGTGTTCTGCAGACGAAAGTAAGTTATACAGGTTTGGAGCTACATTTTTGGGTAAACTATCCATTTAAATGAAATAAACGGATATGTTCTGTTGTTTGTGATTAAACTCTACTAGATATTCTAGCTTGCATGACGTCCACCATGACTTTCTACCTTATGGCTTCTCTTTTGTCCCATTGTCCTAAAATTTCAAACTATGAAAACAGTACTGTGTAGCAACAGCTTTAGATATTACATGAGAGCAGGGCAAATTGTATGTCAGACATACCGTACAATTTGACAATTACAGTAGGACTACAAGCCCTGAGATTTCATAGGTTAACTTCATAAATCTGGATCACATATTGATGCACTCAACTTGTTTTACAGGACAGTTGAGCTCCGTGCATATACGACGTGTCACCAATTTAACATGGGTTCTTCCTATTCAAAGAGTTTTATCATCTTTGATCATGGGGGATTCAAGCCTCAAGGTAGGTTTCTTCATTTCGAATGGGTGGGGGATCTTGACAGACATTGTTCTTAAGCAGTTATGCTTCTTGACAAATGACCTTGAAGTACAGTCTGGCTGAAAGAACACTGAAAGTGAAGCACTTTCAGTCACACTTCAAACAAACTGCCAATGTAGCTTGCTTCGGATTATGTCCAGGATGTTGGGAGAGATTCTTTCAAACTTATACAAGCATTTTTCAGTGGACTGAAGAAGAGAACCAGATGTCTTCCAGTGCTACTGTCGCCATATTTCCATTATCAAGTTATCAGGACACAGTGAACAGTAAAAATTGAGATTCTCACATCTCAGCTCAGGGTAAGGGCTAAACAAGGCACTTTAGGCATATGTTATTTTCCTACACGGATTCCTCTAGGGCTCCATCTGCAAATGGAACTCTTTGTCTTCAAGTTTTGTCTCGTTTTCTTCCTCTTTGGTCTGTGGCGGTAGAGGCATGAATCCGTTTTGTTTATTGGGACTCTCCACAAAGAGAGGTAAGTTGGTCAGACTGGTGTTGACCTCTTTCTCAAGCTCCTCGTCCTCGGCCTCTTTCTTTTCCTCATCCATTGTGGGAGTATTACAGGTGAAGGAATCTAAGGCTTTCCGACTGTCGTCTGGGATGTTTTTCCTCAACTCTTTGTTCCTGTTCCGTTTGGCTAGTTTTGTGACTGAACCAAGGCGGTTGAAAATGTTATCTTCAGAGTACGCCTGGCTTGGATCGCTCCGCCGATGCTCATTCTGCTCAACTCGTAGACGCAGGTTGTTGAGCTTTGTGTCGATGCTCTCCTGGGAGGATGTTTTGTAATTGGTGGTGTCCAGGCTGTTGAAGGCAGCTCGACGTTCAGGGGACAGCATGTCTAGGGAATGGGCCCGCTGGTCGAAACCTAGCTGCCTGCGCTCCATGCTGCGAATGGTGGCGGCCCTTTGCAGTTTGTCATGAACTTCCACGCTGAGTCGGCGCCTGGTCTCACGGAGCTCTGCGCGGACGTTGGCCTTCCATTCGGCGGCGTGAGCCTTAATTTCACCCACCTTCAACAAGATCACAATGGTAAATAAACCTTTAAGTTTTAAAGTGCCCCTATTATGGATTTTTGAAAACTACCTTTCATGCAGTGTGTAACACAGCTCTAAGTGAATGAAAACATCCTGCAAAGTTTTAAATCTGAAAGTGCACTGTGTATAAAGTTATTGTCTCTCAAAAGAAAGAGTTGACTCTGAATCATTGAAACGAGTCGTTTTTAAAACGAATCCCAAGCCGTTTCATGTTGACGTCAACATGAAACATTAGCATATTGCCCGCCCACTTGTTGGTCTTTTCACGTTGGTCTGAATGAAAATGCAAATTAATTCTTTGCCACTAGGTGCCGCTTTTGGAGCGGTAAAATAGCGGTTTCCCCGGTAACGCTGTACACAAAGCAGCATTGCGCTCACAAACGCTGCTTTATCAGGCATGATGAAATGAAAATGAGACCAATCGGACCAATCACCGCAGATTAGCATCACGCAAAGGAGGGGTTTGGAAAAATTAATCGTTGAGCGAATCGTTTGGGAGTCGTTGAGCAAATAAGGTAAAAATAAATGTATATTATAAGACAATGAAAGTGTTTTTTGACCTTGCATGCATGTCAACCTGTTATTGGGGACTCCCAAAACCAAAATATGAACCTTTCATAACCCATAATAGGGGCACTTTAAATTGTCCTTCCAAATAACTGTTTGTACTTTTTATGGGTCAGTGACGTTTACGAGTTTCTATGATAAAGATAAGGAAAAACATGTGCCAAATTCTTAAAATGTGTTCTTTGTATTGATGTTGGTTTCATACGTTTTTGAAAAACTGTGTAACCATTAAGTAAAACTAATATTTTCTTCAACACATGTGAATGTACACATCTTAATGATTATTTTCAAAAATTATTAAAAAAATATTTATTAAGGTAAAACGTGTTTTACAAATATCATGAATAATTATAAATGTTCATAAATGTTTTGATGAGATGCACCACACAAGATTTTACAACCCTGCCTTGTGATAAAAAAGGTCAGACACTCATTTTTAATATATAATGTTTTTGTTTTATTTTTTTCAGCTCTGTTTTTTGCATGTTATTTGCATCACATGACTGATTTCTGCACAAAAGTTTTTTTTTTTTTCAGATATTAAAAGAGGCGATTAAAGGAAGAAAAAATGTTGTTGTTACAAAGATTTTTTTTTCTTCATTATAATATCAAGAGAGTTGTATCACCCTGATATTTTTGCTTTTGTGCTCCTGAAAATATGAAAATGAATGATAATACGGAAATTAAAAACATGTTCATCATATAAGAGAAGTTATTAAAGTTAATAATTGTATAAATGGCATTTTTGGTGTATTGTTTTAGTAAATTAATCAAACAGTGTCATGTCATTGACCATTACATCATATTTGGAAGTATAAAAGTTCAGCTGGAATAATCAAGGTAAATGCAATGCTAACAAAAGTCTCACCTCCATTTTTGTCTTTTTAGAAAGCACCCTGAGCCAGTCTCCAATCATGCTCAGAACTGCAGCAAAATAAGCCAGTCCAACCAGGATCCAGAACCACACCAGCGGTCTGTACCATTTACGGTACTCTATTCTTCTATTGCCTCCTGGAAGAGATGTATAAATTACACTTTCATTTCAGAGGTGGGAGCATTTGATTGTCTTTTAAATCTACAACCACACGCTTTTTGAGGCATTCATCAAAACCTCCTGCCAAATTCATGTAAGTTATTTCCTGAGAACAGCAATCAGACTAGCTCCGTTTTTCTTGACAATTCATGGTGTCTACAAGTAGAGAAATTTCAGAAAAATACAATAAATAGCTTTTATATGGACTTTGTTTTATTCAAGTACTAAATTGAAACAAAGTCTATAAAGGAATCCATTCAGCTGCGTAGGTAAAGTTCTTCCCTTCTGTGATTTGCCTACCAAAGCAACCCAAAAGCCACTGAACCTGTTCCTTGAAAGGGATCCACAAGAGACTAAATGTCAAATGAGCAAATCATATATGGTTGTTTCTTTAACTTCTGGCTCATTTATGTCACAGAGGTGACCTTCCTCGTTTGCTAATTCCCCAAATGGCCTGTATAGATTTTGTTTCACACTTGTCTCAGACCTAAACTTTTAATCTTAAAATATTAAACTCCTTCAAAAATGTTCGATAGATGGATGGATGGATAGAATTAAAAGAAGAAAGAATTAAAAGTGAAAAAAAAAATGTTTATTTCATGAAAATGATTTCTACTTTAAAAGCTATGACTGTCCAGTTTTGTTTAAAATTTAGTTTACTTAAAGAGACAATACCATCATTGAACGCATGAGATGAAATATGAGACGTTAAAGGAGAACAAAATATTGAAATAGGCCTTAGTATAACAAAGGAATCTGCCATTTTATTCTAATATATAAATACATGTAATCATCACAGAAGTGCTTTTTTCGCAACTAAATTCTGTCTGTACCTGCAACATAATCTCCGATCCCAACAGTTGTCAGTGTGATGACCACGAAATAAATCGCCTCCAGCCCGGTCCATCCTTCAATGTGCTTGAAGATGATGGCTGGTATGGTGACGAAGAGAATGCAGCCAGCCAAGATGAAGAGCAATGTAGAGGCCACTCGAATCTTGGTCTGGCTTATTTGATTGTGTTTGCGCTGGGGGGGTGAAATAGACAAAAAGCAATATCAACATGAAAGATCATACAAGAGCCATTCTTAGTCACGCAAACAGCACGACTTCATTGCCAGCAGCGGCTATGTGGCATGAGAAGACATTTCGTGACTTTGTGAAGGTAGCATGTGTTCATTAGCTCTCTGATGGGCCTAATGATGATCTGAATAAGACTGATTAGTCCTAATGAGGTGTGATCTCAGCATGCTGGAGCCTCAGTTCTGTGTTTATTTACTAGGCCTTTACCTCTGCTGTGCAGGGTCTGACTAACCTACCACAAACAAGAGCTGCGATCTTCCTGACTAATGCCACCCAGGACGTCAGGAAAAGAAGTGACCTTGCATAGTCTAATATGATAAACCTAACACTTGAAATTCTAATTGCCATGGTAAACATTTTTCATTGGAACATGTAGCATTAAAATACATTGTTGGTTTTGTTTGTTTGGAATCATCACAGTAGTGTTTTTCAGGTGCATACATTACCGTTCAAAAGTTTGGGGTAGGTAAGATTTTTTTATAATATTTTAATGCTTACAAGACTGCATTTATTTGATAAAAAATATAGTAATATTGTGAAATATTATTCCTGTTTATTTTCAGCTGCCATTACGGCAGTCTTCAGTGTCACATGATACTTCAGAAATCATTCCAAAATGCTTATTTGCTGCTCAAGAAACATTTCTTATTATTATCAGTATTAAACACAGTTGGGCTGCTTCATATTTTTGTGAAAACCCTGATATATTCAGGATTATTTGATGAATAGAAAGTTCATCTTTAGTAACATTAAATGTCTTTACGGTCACTTTTGATCAATGTAATGCATCCTTGCTGAATAACTTTAAAAAACAAAAATCTGACCCCAAGCAACACCCCAACCTGTGGTACTATATGCAGTGTCCCCCAAACATCACCCCAGGCTCATTATAAATATGTGTTTGTGGCGACGTTTCTGCAACAGCATTATTATTGCAGCATTTTCTTAGTGAAATATCCAGTGAGTGGTGCTAAAACACACATTCATTATGTGACTGTGGCCGCGTTTTTTTATTACATTGGTACATGCATGTATTGCAGCGTTTTTATTGCATTGCTTCAGGTACATATTGATGTGGTTCAGACTTCAAATGTCTGGGGAGTGTCGCTAAAAGGCTAATGCTCTATCGTGTTGGAAAATAACATACACCCTACACCAAATCCAACCGTAAACCTACCTGATAGTGTTAAACGAAAGCAAAAGTGATGTAAAAAGCACATTCGATGATGCAACCATGCTATTTGAACTAACTTAAACATTGATTTTAGCTTTTTACTTCACAAGTGCATCGCTGATATCGCATATGCTGCCGAGCAAACCTATTGCATTAGAAAACGTACACGTTTGAAGCTGTATATGTAATGCTAACATTCAAAAGTATCAGTTTTCAAAGTTAAAAAGTCGTAATATTCTGCAAGAAATTATGCGAAAATTGGGCTTTCTTAATCGAAACTCTGGCCCTGTAAATCATACTTTGTGTGAAAAGGAATAAAAGTTGTCGGAGTTTTACTGCCTCTAGTGTTCATTTCAACTAGAAACTGCAGTGATTTCTCCGTATACATTTTTTGAGTTTTGCAGAAATGTTGGTAAAGGCACGTGTTACCAATGAGCCTGGGTAGAACATATCTGTAGGGTACATTTATTGACACCAATGTACTAAAAATGGAAAGGTTTTTCCTTTCCTGCATTTTTGACAAGTTTTTTGTACAGACAATGGCACTGTCAAAATGATCTCCATTTACTTGTAGCCTATCTGCAAGAACTACTAAAAATGCTGTATTATGTTTTCCAGGTCAGTAGTTGGTGGTCTCTTTTTTTTTTTTTAAACCCACACACGTGCATACTATGCATATGCATGGTGTCACCATTTTTACATAGTCACATTTTGTTTACACAAAGACTGTAATGGCATTGTTTTTTAAGGTTTGTGTTTTCAAGCCCCTCAAATAGTCGCTGTCATGTAAATGAGTGGCTAGAATACTTAAAAAAGTATTTTGAACAGTATCTACTGTTTTATTTAAAACGTAACAAACTACTAACTGTATTTTTTAAAGTTTGCTTGTGAAATCTTTCTTTAAAATAAATATCACATTCTGTTATCTATGTAAGCCCGAAGATGCAGTGTATTACAATCTAGCGTAGCGTTAGTTCTGGCAGGTCACGTTAGTCAAGCTCGCATCAGCTGACCTTCAGCTGATCCCCATCAACCTATGGGAATACGACACCTATCTAAGCATTCATATATAAGGTCCCTCAGTATTATCAGCAGTTTTCGCATTGCTCAATAGCTAATTACCCTCCTCCATCCCCAACTCCTCCTCTCGTCAGTCAGGATTCAGCCTTCTGATTCTCCTTTGAATCAGACTAATTCTAAAATGTGTACATAACATTATTGAACTTTAACGATATCTGCAATACATTTATGTTGGTTCTGTTCTGTTTACCCTGGGGGGGGTATCGCTGCTCTCCCTGCTCTCATCCATGCTAGGCTGCATGGATGCGCAGGGAGTTCTTGCCCAGAACAGAACCATACCGCCAATCCAAACTGTATGCTAATTGTCAATCATCTTTGACGATAGTGGTCCTGCCAGAAATGTCTTGTTTAGTTATGATCACTACTTATTTAGCTTCTTTCAAAATACTAAAAGGACATTTAGGATCATAACATTGTTCTTGACATCTTGGTCCTATTCAGAAGATTATTAATTATTGAAATGCTTAAATAAATATAGAATTGCATAAATATATCATTATAACTATGAAAAAAATAAATAAATCAAGACGACAAATCAATAAATAAAGTTTCAATTTGCTACTAGAATTAATAAAAGAGAAAGCATATGATTTAGAGTTCCTTTGCGCCATCAAGAATAATGACTATGTCTTAATGCAAATTCACAGAACATTACGTGATGTCTGTTTTTGTTTTTTTTTTACCTTGTGGTGAAAAAGAAAATCATTCATCCATGCAAAAATTTGAAAACAATGTGTTCTAAAATCAGCTCAAAATATCAAACCGGATGGAATAATAGTCTGAAGCTATAATATCAGAGTCTGTGCCCATCATACACTGTGTAATTTCTCTATAAGTCTGTGAACTCTGACTGCACAAAATCTGCAGACTGGCTCTGATTTTCAGCAACTAGCGTAAACTGTCCAGACTGCAAATCGGGGCAAAAATGGGTAGAAGTTGTGTAGTGTATTACAGCCTTTACATGCGTACCTTCTCACAGAGCCCATTAAACAGATTGTACATTCACAGACTTGTTTTCAATAACCCTAGTTTTGTGCTCCACAGTTCACTTACCCTGAACATTTTCTCCACTTTAGCAATGCTCTTCACAAAAATAGTCCCTAGCTGATCACCAACACCAGCCAGAAGAAAGCCAAAGAGTGGGATGCCAAAAATTGCATAAAGGATACAGAAAATCTTCCCTCCCTCTGTGCTTGGAGAGATGTTGCCATAACCTTAAAAATATAAGAGAGTAATGGTGTAAATTAAGACGCAACTGAAAAGCAAATTTACCACTGTACTGTATATTCAAAGTGACATATGAAAGAATGCCATATGATATAATGGTTAGGGGACTTTATTGGATAATTACACGCATAGTTAGTTCAACGCCAATTCAGACTACGCAAAATCAAATGAAAGAATCATAATTTTCTTATAATTTTGCTATATATAAATTCAGACTCCAATCAGTCTGGTAATTCCAATGCAGCCCAGTCAGATATACTCTGTAGGTTTAAAGGGAATCATAGGAAATTACCTACTATGGTCCCCATGGATCAAAATGTGTCTACTGAGAGCATGTTCGAAGGTTTGGCAACTGAAGTGTAAAAACTAATCTTGTTTATGCCTTTGTCCATTGCCTGCTGGATGGCTGAGCCAATGACATTGAGAGTCCTGTCAGCATTTAGATACTAACCTGTATTACACAACAGCTTCTTTAAGTAATTAATCACAGGCCCTGGCAGGTAACACAGCAGGCAGCCTATGGACTTCAAATGCATTACATCAAACCTCTAATGGAATGCGCCATATAACTGCAAGTAGTGAATTAATGCCTTGTATTTTCGCCACAGAGTGAAAAATAAATAAAAGGCTTTTTACCTAACAATTTTGATGTTTTTTTTCTCGCAATTTTAAAGTTATATCTCACAATTCTGACTTTTTATCCTACAATTCTGAGAAAAAAAAGTCAGAATTGCAAGATATAAACGTGCAATTTAAGTATTTTTTGTGTGTTTTAACGTGCAATAAGTCAAAATTGTTAAATAGAAATGTGCAATTCTGAGAAAAAAGTGAGAATTTTGTTTTAAAATAATAATAATAATAATTGTGACTTCAAGTTAATATCTCGCAATTGTGAGTTAACATTTCAACTTTTTTTTCCATTTACGGCTTTGATTATTCACCCCCCGATTTATTTCCTTACTGAGACTACAAAATGTGTCTAAAAATCAATGAATCGCTCCATAAGCATCAGTAGTTTCATTTGGATTGACAGTTGAAGCAGGCACATTTTCACACATGGAATATAAATGGGGCTGAAGGAGAAAATGATTGATTGGTGGTGTTGGGGGTCAGGCATATTGACTGAAACTAAGACTGTAAATGTATGACACAAGCAAATTCCTTGTATTTGGCTTGAGCTATGCATATTAATGTGGGGTGGAGAGGTCTAGAAATGTATGTATAATATCCAGGGATGTATAGGTGCTACCTATTGTTGTTATCACAGTTCCAGCGAAGAAAAAGGAGCTCCCCAAGTCCCAGTGACTGGAGTTGTATGATGTGTCTCCGATAGGACTGACACCGGCGTTCACTGCATCTACAGAGTGCTGGGAAAAGATAAGACTGGAGTTAAGGTCATTGTATGAGAAGCACGTCTTCCATATGATTAATAGTCAGTTCCAGTGACAGATCATTTAATGTGGTAATGAAAATCAAAATTGGTATCAGGCCAAAATAAACAAATAATTTCAACATCGAAATGGACTGAAAATCTAAACGCCATACTGACAGTGAATGCAATTTGAAATGATTAAGTATTTACTTGAAAAGGCCGAACAATTTAAACTAGCCTTTAGTGTAAATTCAAAACCACTGTGTATAACATCTTAAAAATAATAAATCCATATATATGTATATATATATATACATATATATATATATATATATACGTTGTCATGTCGTTAGTGTTACTTTTCTCAACATTCGTCGAGAAAGCCCAATCACAATCGTTTTGGCAACATGTCTGCAAAAAGACATTGCTTTGCATTTTGCAATGATTTCCAAGTGAAATGTCCAGTGAGTGACGCAAAAGTCGTGTTCAGTTTTATCTGAAACAGATGAATCTGCCAACATTTCATGATCAATGTTTCAATGTTCATGATCAAGTTTACGATGTTGTACACAGGGTGGGATTTGTGAACAAACCAGAGGGGGGTGTTTAAAAAAAAAAAAAAACTTTTTTTTTTTTTTTTCCCTATTCCCTATCA